GCACCTCTTTCCCGCCCCAGGATGTAGAGGTGGAAAAATCAAACCACTTTGCAATGGTGAATCTGAGAACAGCCGCCCCCACTGTCTGTGTAAGTCATTCCTTTTTGCTCCTCCACATAGAGTAGATCATAGTGGGTCTATAACCCACCTGTCGGTGGCCATGGTTGTTATTATTGTGTAATCCCAGCAGTAGAGCATGGTGAACCAAGCCAGGCACTCTCTTTCGCAGTTACTTGTTCTGAGTCGGGCTGAGAAGGTCCTAGAAGAAGTTGACTGGCTGATTGCCAAGCTCAAGGGACAAATGAGCCCAGAAACCCTACCAGGTAAGCTGAGGTCATGTGAGGTTCCAAAAACTGACAGGAGCAAACCCAACCAAAATCCAAATTGGAGTACTGCATAAAAGTGGAGGCCCTGAGCTAAATTTAGTTGTTTCTAAGCTAGATTTCTGATGTGATGAAATATGGGTCATTGGGAAAGGTATGATGCATTTTTGTATAGAAAAACATAGAAAAGTATGTCATGCCTTTGCCAACAACTTAATAGAAGGTAGTATGGCTATAACGGCATGATTATTGGTTCAGGATAATGAAAATTCCATTGAATACTCATTTTCCAAGTAGGCTTTCTAGTTATTAGTATTTGGTTGATTTCTAAAATTTCTGTTTTGTCATCCATGAGAGCAAGCACACTCAAAGGGTCTTCATGCCCCCAGGCCACCGCCAACATTAGCCAGCTCAGTCATAGGCATGCTTGTGAGAGGACTCCTTCACAAGCCCAACACCTTTCCACGTGGATCAGCCGCAGAGCATTGAGTTTACTCCCATACCACCATCCAGCCCCTCCTTTCCTTTTAATTAGAAAATAAGACCAGTGGAGTATAAATGTGCCAATTTCACTTTCCTTCAGAAGGGGCCTCTTCTCAAGCAGCCCCACCAAACCATCCCACTGAGAAAGCCGTCATCATGCAACTGGGAACTCTGCTTACATTTTTTCACGAGCTGGTACAGACAGCCCTGCCATCAGGCAGCTGCGTCGACACCTTGTTAAAGGACCTGTGCAAAATGTACACCGTCCTAACGGCGCTTGTCAGATATGTAAGTATCTGCCAGACAGGTTCAGCCCACCGTCTACCCCAGCGAGCTCACAGGTGAGGCTGGGCAGCAGCCCACTGCTATGCATGCCTTTAGACAGAGCTCTCGGAAGCCAGGGTTGTTTCAGTTTGCTCAGTTGGTAGCAGGGAAAGATGGTTGGTGACAAAATACTAAATATGCTTTCGGAGGCTCTTAGTTCCTTGGCATGTGGCACCTGATAGCCAATGCTGTTTTAAACACCTAAGGCTTAATCTGAGCTCTAGCTGTAGAATTATGAGACCATGATAAACCAAAAAGTGACGCCATTTCTTGAATACTCAAGAGATGTTTATTCTTATTCCTTTAGAGATTATTAAATTCCTTACAGGTCAGGTACTAGAGTGGGGGAGGAAGTTGTGTTTTTGTTATTGTTTTAAACACAAGGCATACTCTTGTTCTCGTAATGTAGGTGTTTGGGTTTTAGGGAGGTTTTTTTTTTTTGTTTTGTTTTTTGTTTTAGTATTTGTTAATAAACTATTACACTTTTAATGTTGACATTTTGGTCTCTAGATTCAAAGGCTGATAGGAACTGGGAAGTTTAGTTCTGATTATGGCAATGATCCATATTAAATGCTTGGGCATAAAAACAAACAAACAAACAAACAAACAAAAAACAAAAAACAAGGAAGATGCAGACCATCCCCCAGTGTACCCAAACAGCAGTGTGGCCATTTCTGAGAACGTGTGGTTTTCGCTGCCTGTCATGGCTACTAAACTGCTGGAGTGGAAGTACTTGAGAGCCTCGTTATTGGCATTTTTACAAGGAAAACAGCAGTCATTGGTTTTTCTAGGCAAAAGGGCCTATCAGGGGAACCAGCAGTTAATGTAATGGCCATGTCGCTGGACTCCCACATAGTCGACTATGGTTCGCGTTCCGGACCCGATGGCTTAAAACTCAGGCCAGGCGCGTGTGCGTGCGTGCGTGCCCAAGATCTTGAGAGGAGAATGGAGGAGAAGGGATTGCAGCGTGACCATCCCCCCTGGGGGGTGATTTCTCGCTTTCTGTCTCTATGTCTCTCTCTGTCTGGCGAGTGCACACGCCCTATAGCGAAAAAACCCTCTCCAGAAAAAAAAGGGCCTATCAGCCTGAGGGACCTTATAAAGTGGTAAGTTAAGCAAGTCCTCACAAAAAGTTATTGCCTACTTACAGTGAAGCTTTAGAGGAAGGGAAAAGGAAAGCGTCATGCCTTGGCTTCTCTAAGAAGTAACCTCTGCACTCAGTGATGAGTCACACTCCATAAGCTCACTCTGAGGGTCACCTGTAGTTTCATAAGATGACTTTCTAACTCTAGGAACCTTCTGTTACTAGTATCTCCAGGTATGTCGGAGCTCTGGAGGAATTCCAAAAAATATGGAAAAGCTGGTGAGTTACGAATACCTTTCCAAGGTATGGGGGAAGCATTTCACTGCTGTGGTTACATTGGTTTCCTTCTTTGCTGCAGGTGAAGCTGTCTGGTTCGCATCTGACACCCCTGTGTTATTCTTTCATTTCTTACGTACAGGTAAGTGATCAGAGAGTACTAAAACAGATCTTAAAGAGAGGACTTATTTCTGAGGGGACAGCTTATATGTAGTTTCTTCCCTACTTACCATAAGCCAGAGGTGCCCATTTGAGATCAAGCCATGGCTTGAAGGCTTTGCAACAAGGACACCTTTATTTGTAGAGAAAGTGTTTTATCCAATTTGGAGAAAGAATTTTACATGCTTGCTTTTGAAAAAAAGGAATGAGCATACCTGAGCTCCGTAGTTTCTGGTGATTGAAAGTCCTTGACGTTAGGTATCCCCTGCGAGTGAGGACAGTGACAGCAAGGGGAATGAAGAAGGACTCAGCTCAGATGGTAAGTGTGAGAGAGCTGCAGCACTTTCAGAGAGGTAGAGGAAACTGGGCTTTCATCATTTTCTAAATTTAGAGAGGAAAGAGGTGGGGGGGGGGTGTCTAAGAAAATGACAAAAGTCTCTAAGTGTCATCTGGCCCTAAATATCACCAGATTCCTACAGTACTTGAGACTACTATTTGCTTAAGCCAGGATTTATTTATTTATTTGGTCAAAGGGTATACATGGGCATGCTGGGGATGGGGGACAGGTAGTTAAGAAATCACCCCCAAGGGATTGGATACACTACAATCCCTTCTCCATTCTCTTCGGGATTTGGGGCACACATGCCTGGCTTGAGTTTCAGTCGGCTGGGTCTCCTTGGTCCAACCGGGGAGTCTAGTGCCTTAACCACCATGTCACCTTCTGGCCCTAAACCCCAGGGCGGGTAGGGGGAAGAGAGTGGTGTGTTTTTTTGTTTGTTTGTTTGTTTGTTTTAAGAGATTTTTGCTATAGGGCACATGTCCCCTCTGGGGAGACACAGAAATTATCCCTGAGGGAGGATGGCCACATCTCAGGTCTCTTCTCTAGCCTCCTCTTGGGATTTTGGGCATGCATGCACACATGCCCAGTGTGAGTTTTAAGCCACTGGGTCCAGGACTTGAACCGCAGTCATTTATGTGGGAGTCAAGTGATGTAACCATTATGCTATCCACTGTTCCCTAAACCAGGGTTTAACTTTTGATATTGGCCCAGACAGCTTTTTTTTTTTTTTTTTTTCCTTTTTGTCTGAGAGAGGCACCTTCAACAAGATCTCATACCATGATTATCCCCTGAGCCTTCCCTGCCAGCTAGGATCCCAGGTGCTCACCTGTTGCTATGCACTTCACTCCTGCGCCACCACAACTGGCCTGGACTAGTTCTTTCTGGTTCCTGCTCTGTGTATTTTAAGATATTTAACAGCATCCCTGACCTCTACCTACCAGATAACAGTAGCAAAATCCCACCTCATCCTCAGCCAACAATCGTGACAACCACAGATGTCTTTAAGGGGCACAACCACCCCTAGTTGAGAACCAGGGTCTTAAACACATGAAGCAATGGGAAGGAGTCCTGCTGTCTCCTAAAACCATTTATCAGTGCAGTGAGCATCACAGGGCTGTTAATGATCTTTGAAGAATCAAAGAGAATGGGTCCGCCTAGTGTCAGTCTTGGCCTAGGTTCTCAAACCATTTAAGCATCCATAGCACCACTTTGATAGGGTGCGTCACTTGTTTTCTGCCTTTGTATCACTTACAGGTACAATGTCCTCCTATTGGTAACTTAATGTTCATATTTAAGGGCGTCTCCCCTTGAGAAGCACTGACCCACAGGCCTGTCACCTGCATTAACCTGAAAGTCCTCGGTAGTGTGCTCGTAGTGGAGCTCTCTACCACCTTGCCTATACCAGTTCTGTGATCGGGGTCAGGATTGCATCATCCATTTTCTGTGCCTGACCAGACTGCCTGTAGTCTACTCTCATCAAGCCATTTGTCCTCATTTATTTCACCCAAATGCTTACAGACATGCTTTCTTAACACTCGTGCTCATAAGTTTTCATGTAAGTAACATTCTGTCTTGTAGATAGTCAACATACAGGATATATCACCCAAAGTCCTAAATTCAGGTTTTGAGTGCCCCATTCCAGAGTATCCTGTCTCGACTGAGACGGTCCTCAAGGGCGGGGGTTCCTATATAAATACACCCATTCCTCATCTCATACATGTGTGTGCCGGTAACAGTAAGGGGTGCTAAGAGGTCCTATGGTAAGTTTCATAGTAGTCCCCAAATTATTCAGTAACATTTTCTAAATAGCAACTTCGTATTTGACAGAATAGTGTTCCATAGAGTAGAGCTTAGAAAACAGTTTTATCATAGTTACTGCTAACCTTGTTATATACTCCAAGTCATTTTACTAGAACAGCTAATGTTCAGAGAACCCCCTTACCTTGTAAGTGCTATGTTTTCATGCATCCTCTCCTGCATCCTCACACCTTATCCTTTTATGTTATCCTATTATAAATCTTGAGAAAAGGCTAGGAAAGTTAACTGAAAGGTCCAAGAGCAGATGGTTATTACAAGGCAGAGGTGAGGGACCCGCAGGTGGCATAGTGATAAAGGCATTGGACTCCCACGTGGTTGACTGTGGTTCAAGTCCTGGACCTGGCAGCTTGAAAATATGCCCTGCACAAGTGTTTGCAAGCCCAAGATCCCAGGGGAATGGAGGAGAAGGGATTGCAGTGTGGCCAAACCACGCTGGTTATAATTATACCCCCTACCTCACCCCCGGGGGGATTTCTCACTCTCCCTCTCACTGTCTGTCTCTCTCTCTCAGTCACATGTGCCTTGTAGCAGGTGAGTTACGAATACCTTTCCAAGGTATGGGGGAAGCATTTCACTGCTGTGGTTACATTGGTTTCCTTCTTTGCTGCAGGTGAAGCTGTCTGGTTCGCATCTGACACCCCTGTGTTATTCTTTCATTTCTTACGTACAGGTAAGTGATCAGAGAGTACTAAAACAGATCTTAAAGAGAGGACTTATTTCTGAGGGGACAGCTTATATGTAGTTTCTTCCCTACTTACCATAAGCCAGAGGTGCCCATTTGAGATCAAGCCATGGCTTGAAGGCTTTGCAACAAGGACACCTTTATTTGTAGAGAAAGTGTTTTATCCAATTTGGAGAAAGAATTTTACATGCTTGCTTTTGAAAAAAAGGAATGAGCATACCTGAGCTCCGTAGTTTCTGGTGATTGAAAGTCCTTGACGTTAGGTATCCCCTGCGAGTGAGGACAGTGACAGCAAGGGGAATGAAGAAGGACTCAGCTCAGATGGTAAGTGTGAGAGAGCTGCAGCACTTTCAGAGAGGTAGAGGAAACTGGGCTTTCATCATTTTCTAAATTTAGAGAGGAAAGAGGTGGGGGGGGGGTGTCTAAGAAAATGACAAAAGTCTCTAAGTGTCATCTGGCCCTAAATATCACCAGATTCCTACAGTACTTGAGACTACTATTTGCTTAAGCCAGGATTTATTTATTTATTTGGTCAAAGGGTATACATGGGCATGCTGGGGATGGGGGACAGGTAGTTAAGAAATCACCCCCAAGGGATTGGATACACTACAATCCCTTCTCCATTCTCTTCGGGATTTGGGGCACACATGCCTGGCTTGAGTTTCAGTCGGCTGGGTCTCCTTGGTCCAACCGGGGAGTCTAGTGCCTTAACCACCATGTCACCTTCTGGCCCTAAACCCCAGGGCGGGTAGGGGGAAGAGAGTGGTGTGTTTTTTTGTTTGTTTGTTTGTTTGTTTTAAGAGATTTTTGCTATAGGGCACATGTCCCCTCTGGGGAGACACAGAAATTATCCCTGAGGGAGGATGGCCACATCTCAGGTCTCTTCTCTAGCCTCCTCTTGGGATTTTGGGCATGCATGCACACATGCCCAGTGTGAGTTTTAAGCCACTGGGTCCAGGACTTGAACCGCAGTCATTTATGTGGGAGTCAAGTGATGTAACCATTATGCTATCCACTGTTCCCTAAACCAGGGTTTAACTTTTGATATTGGCCCAGACAGCTTTTTTTTTTTTTTTTTTCCTTTTTGTCTGAGAGAGGCACCTTCAACAAGATCTCATACCATGATTATCCCCTGAGCCTTCCCTGCCAGCTAGGATCCCAGGTGCTCACCTGTTGCTATGCACTTCACTCCTGCGCCACCACAACTGGCCTGGACTAGTTCTTTCTGGTTCCTGCTCTGTGTATTTTAAGATATTTAACAGCATCCCTGACCTCTACCTACCAGATAACAGTAGCAAAATCCCACCTCATCCTCAGCCAACAATCGTGACAACCACAGATGTCTTTAAGGGGCACAACCACCCCTAGTTGAGAACCAGGGTCTTAAACACATGAAGCAATGGGAAGGAGTCCTGCTGTCTCCTAAAACCATTTATCAGTGCAGTGAGCATCACAGGGCTGTTAATGATCTTTGAAGAATCAAAGAGAATGGGTCCGCCTAGTGTCAGTCTTGGCCTAGGTTCTCAAACCATTTAAGCATCCATAGCACCACTTTGATAGGGTGCGTCACTTGTTTTCTGCCTTTGTATCACTTACAGGTACAATGTCCTCCTATTGGTAACTTAATGTTCATATTTAAGGGCGTCTCCCCTTGAGAAGCACTGACCCACAGGCCTGTCACCTGCATTAACCTGAAAGTCCTCGGTAGTGTGCTCGTAGTGGAGCTCTCTACCACCTTGCCTATACCAGTTCTGTGATCGGGGTCAGGATTGCATCATCCATTTTCTGTGCCTGACCAGACTGCCTGTAGTCTACTCTCATCAAGCCATTTGTCCTCATTTATTTCACCCAAATGCTTACAGACATGCTTTCTTAACACTCGTGCTCATAAGTTTTCATGTAAGTAACATTCTGTCTTGTAGATAGTCAACATACAGGATATATCACCCAAAGTCCTAAATTCAGGTTTTGAGTGCCCCATTCCAGAGTATCCTGTCTCGACTGAGACGGTCCTCAAGGGCGGGGGTTCCTATATAAATACACCCATTCCTCATCTCATACATGTGTGTGCCGGTAACAGTAAGGGGTGCTAAGAGGTCCTATGGTAAGTTTCATAGTAGTCCCCAAATTATTCAGTAACATTTTCTAAATAGCAACTTCGTATTTGACAGAATAGTGTTCCATAGAGTAGAGCTTAGAAAACAGTTTTATCATAGTTACTGCTAACCTTGTTATATACTCCAAGTCATTTTACTAGAACAGCTAATGTTCAGAGAACCCCCTTACCTTGTAAGTGCTATGTTTTCATGCATCCTCTCCTGCATCCTCACACCTTATCCTTTTATGTTATCCTATTATAAATCTTGAGAAAAGGCTAGGAAAGTTAACTGAAAGGTCCAAGAGCAGATGGTTATTACAAGGCAGAGGTGAGGGACCCGCAGGTGGCATAGTGATAAAGGCATTGGACTCCCACGTGGTTGACTGTGGTTCAAGTCCTGGACCTGGCAGCTTGAAAATATGCCCTGCACAAGTGTTTGCAAGCCCAAGATCCCAGGGGAATGGAGGAGAAGGGATTGCAGTGTGGCCAAACCACGCTGGTTATAATTATACCCCCTACCTCACCCCCGGGGGGATTTCTCACTCTCCCTCTCACTGTCTGTCTCTCTCTCTCAGTCACATGTGCCTTGTAGCAAAAATCTTAAAAAGGGAAAGGGAAAAAAAAGGTAGAGCTTAGACTTAACCCAGTTAGTTTACCACAGAGGTTGGCAGACTTTTCTATAAAGGGTCTACTACTAAACATTTTAGGCTATGCTGTTCTAACATAAAAGTAGCCAGAGATAGTCCATCCATAAATGACTGTTTCATAGCAAAACTTCTTTCTCAAAAACAGGCAGAGGGCCTGTTTTGACCAGTGGGCTGCAGTTTGCTAACCCCTGCTCTAGAATCATTCTTGATATTTGTTGACAAGTCAAATGTTGGGAGGTTTTGGATTTTTGTTTCTGATCCCAAGCTCCAGCATTTTTCTGTGAATCATCAGGAACCTCCTAAACTGATGTTCTTTTCACAGTACACACAAAAAAGTTTAGTGTATTCCCTGGGCACTTTACCTCTTTCTCAATTCACATTTGACTAGACCTTCCTGACAGGTCAGCTGCAAGTGCAGGCAGACATTTTTCTCTCATCTACTTAACTCCAACTCTTGCCTAGAAATGGGATTGAACTTGCCACGTCTTCCAGAGAGCCATTATTCTTTTATAGTCTCTTCTTTTTAGGCCTCAGTGGAAAGAAAGCAATGAAAACTACTGCTCCAAAACCCTTGGCTTCATGCCCAGTTTTACACCTTTAAAAGATGCATCTTTCCTGGCTCTAATTTTAGTTGTATCTGAAGCAACAGGAGTGCGCAGCAGAAAAGGTTTAGATAGTCTCTCTAGAAAGGTGACTCACTTTCCACTTGGTCAGGTGAAGTCTACCTGTGGCTTCTTCTCTCCCCTTCCCTTAATAGGGTTTCACCCTCTACCATCTTCTTAAAGATTTCTCCATACCAGCCCCTCTGTAATTCCTGTTCCTTATTTCTAGAACATGGCATGTGAAACAACCTTCAGTCTCGTGGTTCCAGTGGCATAGATTCTCTTCACTTTCAGGCCTCTTCTTGTTCCCACGGAACATCATAGGTTCCTTCCCTTTAAAATGTAGAACTTCCTTTAAAGTAAAAGCTTCCTATGTCTTATGTACCTTACACTTGGATAGTTTTTCAACCCACTCTCTCCTGCCTCAGAAATTGAGTCTCTTATCCTTATCAGAATCTTTTTTTCCTTATCAGACTCCTTTACTGCTTTTATTGGCTCTTTTCTCTCCAAGAGCTCTTTATTACCTGGTAATCTACAACATGGGGAAGTCTACCATGACCCTTTAAAAACCACGACACACATAAGATACATCTGGTGATTGCTGCCAGGTAGAAAGACTACAGGCTCCTGGAACAGCCATCAGCCTCCTTTATGGAACCCTTTCAGCTACCTGCTCAGTAGGAAAATGCCTGCCCTGCCGTCACCATGACAGCCACCATTTTAACCATCCTTAAATAATTGGTCCCTTGGCTGGCCCAGTACAGTAACAGTTGGTTCTGCCTTCAACTTCCATGTGCTAGCTCCAAGATTACTATCCTCCCAACAACAGACAAAAACCTGAGAGTTATAATGCATTAACAAAATTTTCCAGCATCTGCTACACATCCAGACTGGGTCCCCTTCTACTGTAATTACCTTCTGTCCTACTAGTTCCACAGAAAAATCATTAGGAGGGGCCAGCAGGTGTTATGGTGGTTAAGACACTGGACTCCCACGTGGCCCAACGCAGTTCGAATTCCACAACTGGAAGCTTTCTCTGATGAGCACATGTGCCCTGTAGCGAAATAATTTTTTAAAAATAATTCTTTTACAAAGCCACTAAAAATGAAATAATGTTTTTGGTTTGTTTTTTGTTTTTTTGTTTTTTTTTTTTTTTAAGAATAAGAAGAGTAAGAACCCAAAATATACAGGAGATATGAAAAAGGATAAAACTGTTGCCACAGCCATGGTAAGCTGCAAAACTATAGTTGCAAGTAAACTTTGAAAACATTGCGAAAAGCCAGTTACAAGAACTACATGTTGTAGTACTGTATAGGAAATGTCCAGAATAGGCCAGTCTACAAAGATGTAGTTGCCTAGAGCTGGATGGTTGTGGGGGGATAGGGACATTAGGGTAACAGTTAAAAACAGCATAGGATTTCTCTGGGGTGATGAAAATGCTATAAAATTGATTGTGGTGACAGTAATATACTAAAAATCCACATTTTAAGTAGGCAAATTATAAGCTAGGTGAATTATATCCAGTCTGTTACCAGTATGTAAGTGTGTGCATGCAGGCATGTGTTCACACATATGGCTGCGTCTCAACTCAGATATTATGATTAGACGGAGCGCCTAGTTTTCCTCCGTACCAAAAGTTTTATTCAGGAAGCACCAGGAAATCTTGAACTCAAATAGGAAGAGTGAAGTTGGTTAGGATACCCATTGAGAAGGTTGGTGAGTACAAAGGTGCCCCGTCAGTGCTGTGCAAAAGTTGGTGAGGATGCTAGAAACGTAAAGAAATCAGTACAACTTCTCAGGGGGACAACTTGGCAATAATTACTAAATTTTAGGAGATACCCATACACACTCTGATATAACATGGTCCACCTCAGAGAAGCTGTAAAGGCCTGTGTACTGGATGTTCCTAGGAGCATTGTTTACAAAACTGAAAGAATGGGATCAAGATGGCCATTACTGTTGGGTTGTCAGAAAAGTCACGATGTATTTTTTTTCAATGCAAAAATGTGTCATGACTTTTCGGACAACCTAATAAATATTAAACGTAAGTTATACTTCATTTATATTGGAGATGTTGTACAGATATGAAAAAAAATGCAAGTCTGAATATTCAGCTGTGGAGCTATATCCAAGATGTTTAAGAAAAAAAGGACAGAATTCTCATGTGGGTTTAATACATATCAGATGTGGGGACAGCCCTGTAGCAAAGAGGTTAAGGTGAGCTGGATCCCACTTCACCAACCACAGTTCAAATCCCAGTCCTAGCAGCTGGGGAAACACACCGGGCATGTGTGCCCGAAGTCCTGACAGGTGAGAAATGGATAAGGAGTTGCACCATGACTACACCCCATTTTGGGAGGTGCCTCTCTCTAGCAAGCACGCAAGTACCCTCTGGCAGTTAACATAAGGGGAGCATACGTAATCCCAGCAGTAAAAGTTCACGTGCAGGACTAGAAGGAAATGGGGGCTATACAGAGTGGGCTTACTGTTAGCAGAATATGAAGTAAGGCAACTAAATTTCTGTAAGTGGTCTTACCCTCCTCAGTCTCATACTTACAAAATTTAAGTGAACCTCTTTTGGCATTTGGGTCTTTTGGACCCAAAGGCCTTAGATCACTGGTCTCTAAATAAGATTGTGTTTGGTTGAGAGGCTACTTCCGTCCCAAAGCCATGTACAGTTCTGCTCGTGACCTCAGGAAAACTTAAATCTTACCTTCTTTGCCCTTAGTCCAGGGTTCTTCGGGAAACCAAGCCAATCCCTAACCTCATCTTTGCCATTGAGCAGTATGAAAAATTCCTCATCAACCTTTCTAAGAAGTCCAAGGTAAACGTGCCTCCTTATTTGCTACCGCTTCTCCTGTTGAAGGGATCTGGCAGAATGACACAGTATAACCAAATTGACATAGTATAATGGAAAGATGGGTTTTTTGTTTTGCTTTGCTGATTTCCTAAATTCAAACATCATATATAAGAACTGAAGGATCTTCAGAGCTACCTAAGAAAGTTTAAGCTGTTGCAGCAGGATGTGAGTAGGAAAACGTTCCTGTGCTTATAATCCTATCCCAGGTGAACCTGATGCAACACATGAAGCTCAGCACCTCGCGAGACTTCAAGATCAAAGGGAACATCCTGGACATGGTGCTTCAGGAGGAGGGGGAGGATGAAAATGAAGAGGTCAGTGCCTGCTTCTGCCTTGAGCACAAACCCCCGTCATTCTTTCACTTGTTTGTTCCCCCCCTGTGTGGGAGCAGCCTCAGCTGAGAGGAAGGGCGACAATCCAGACAGGGTTGAAATGTGGTTGGGAAAAGATGAAAGTTAAGGACTCTTTTTCGGGGGGGGGGGGGGGGGGGGGGGGGGGGGGGGGGGGGGGGGGGGGGGGGGGGGGGGGGGGGGGGGGGGGGGGGGGGGGGGGGGGGGGGGGGGGGGGGGGGGGGGGGGGGGGGGGGGGGGGGGGTTGCTGTACGGCACGTGCACTCGCCAGACAGACAGAAAGTGAGAAAGCCAGGGGGGATGGCCACGCTGCCATCCCTTCTCCATTCTCCTCTTGGGATCTTGGGCACACACGCACACGTCCCTGGTGTGAGTTTTACGCCACCGGGTCCAGGACTCAAACCATGGTTGACTACATGGGCATCCAGTGACATAACCATTACGCTAACTGCTGGTCCCAAAGCTAAGAACTCTTAAGAGAAGGGCTGTAAGCCTTGAGCCGTTGCTTTCAAGGTCCCTGTACTTACATAAACATTTCTGGTCGACATTTCCAGGAAGAGATGACAAAACAGGGTCTTGCTGTGGATCCTCTCTCTGTCACCTTTTAAACTACTGGACAGCAAGCAGCTATCACTGTGGTTCAGAAACCAGTTTACCCCCTCATAGCACACACCACACCCTCATCTTTACAGTAGAGTCATTTGGATTATTTTGGTAAAATTTCCTTTGGTACATACCAGTTCATCTTCCAGAGGGAGAAACTCTAGTTCATTCCTCTTGCTTCAGTTTTACCAGATACAGTAGCACATCCCTGATGTTTCCTTATATCTGGAACCTAAAATTTTCATTTTAGGTCTCAGATGGAATAATCAGCAACCTGCTCATTTCAAAATTGGAAGTTTATATAAATATACCCTCCATTTTTGGCTTCTCAAAAAACATTATCCTGCATTCTTCAGATTATCACTCCAGACCTTAAAGTATCTAGCTAGCCCCATCCATTCCCTTTACCTCCTTGGCATTTTGAGTTCAGGAGGGTCTCAACGTTTGATGCCTTGAGGCTCTTTCTGTGCCACCTTGTCCCATCAATCTCCTTAACATAAGAAAAATCCTAAGGGAAGGAATCCACACTGCCTTACCCCTTTGTGAGGCCCCCTCTTTGTCTACAGCATTATCTCCCGTGAGTGTGCAAAGGGGAAAGCATGACTCAGGCTTGATCTTCTCATCAAAGGGTTTGGTTTGGTTTTATTCCCACTGCCTCGGAGCAGCATTATCACACTAGAGCATTACTTCTCTCCCTCCTAGGGCACTGCATTAGAGCACGGGGCACAAAACAGAGAACCAGCAAAGAAGAAAAGGAAAACAAAGGAAATGCCTGAGTTAATGTGAACTTTGGGTCTTCTGCTTCCTTTTTACCCAATAGCAGTAGTACCCCTTGTCCTACAGCCCACGCTGATGTCGGCATCTTGGTACTGAACCCACTGAACTCAACTGCACCTTCAGTTAGAAGGAATCTTCTTGCCAGGTCCTGCTACTGAAAAGTGGCTGCCCTTAGGCAAGCCATTTTGCAAAAAGCAAAGCTGAAAGCCTGAGTTTGGGATCCCGCACACCCCGATGAAGCTCCACAGGAGCAAATACGGAGCCTCCGGGCTGGCTTCACTTTTCCAAGGAGCCTTTGGTGAGTTCAATTATCTGGTAAATATCCAGCGCTTCACCTGAAAGATAGTGCAAATTGGTTAGGGTGCCTCCTCCAGAATTGTAACTGAGAGCTCAGAAGTGAGAAAGGAAGTCTTAGGAACCAAAAGGAATGTGGAGGGATTGAGAGTAATTGTTGGGAACAGTAATGTTACATGTTTCCTTTTTGTATAAGTCTGTCTTGGATACATCTTAAGTAGAAAATACTTCACTTTCTTGACAGCATGGGCCTTTTTCCTTCTACCTAAGAATGCACTTTGTGTACAGTAAGTCCTCTTTGAACATTTCTGGTATGGTTGAATAGATACGGCTGCAACATGAAGCTACAGTGTTGTCCTTCATTTACTATGAACAGCTTTCGACAAACACGCATCCCTTTGTGCTTTGAACACCATATTCCCTTTGGACCTAGAGCCCCTTAAACACCACATGTAGCTGAGTCAAGAGTGGATGTTGTCTCTGGGACTCTGTATAATGAGGAACAAACGTGTTTGCTCACCCTGGGGAATCCCGTATCTCCTTTCCATCCCAGTCGGATTAGAAGGGGTTTTACAATCCATGGTCACTTCCTTCCTGAGGCACTGGTCAATATCAACTGCACTGAAAAAGGCGACTGACTGGGGCAAGTCATTCAGACCCAGCTTGTAGGCAAACATGCACCTGAAAGAGAGAGACCCAGTCACCTCTCAGTCATGTCTCTGTTGGGACACAAGCTCATGTATCACTCCAAAGAAATAGCTACGTGTCTGTCCTCCTAGCCTAGTCCCATTCTGCTCACTTACCTATGGCAAAGGTCAGCCACCTCCCACTGAGCCACTCATGTGCAGTTATGAACCCCACATACATTTTTCCCAGTTTGGTATATTTTATTGGTAATGTTTTTAAAAGCTCAATTATTAGGCCAGAGACTAAATTGATTTTTTTGTTAGCTTTAAGCATAACTCCCAGAAGATGATTAAGAGCAATGGCCAACAATATGGCCTTCATTATTTACCCATTCATCAGAATATGTTGTGGTTCCCAAACTGGTTCTGAGCGGGAAATCAACATGGAACAGTCCTGTCATTTGATATACAGCCATAAGAACTGAGACTTCTACTACAAGGAACTATAACTCAGCTATATTAAGATATTGTTGAATCCCGTCTGAGTTACCCCATTAACTACGTTCTATTAGCAGTCAGAAAAATTTTGGGCACTTAAAACATTATGGCCAGGGGACCAGCAGGTGGTGTGGTGGTTAAGGCGCTGGACACTCCCATATGGCCGACCAGGATTCAAGTCCTGAATCTGGTGGCTTGCTTTCTCACTTTCTCTCTCTCACACTCTCACCCTCTGTCTCTCTCTGGTCAAATTAAAAAATAAATGAATGAATAAATAAATTATTTTAAAAAAACATCCTAATTGTCTATGAATTGAGAAAAGTTTTCTGGTTTTCAAAAACAACTATCCTAACCTTTTCTTTATGTCAATGATTGTCTTTTTTTTTAAAATAGTTTTAATTTTTAATTATTTAATTTTTATTTATTCACTCATTTATTTTAATTTGACCAGAGAGAGAGGGAGGGAAAGTGAGGAAGTAAGCCGCCAGGTCTAGGACTTGAACCGTGGTTGGTATGTGGGAATGTCCAGCACCTTAACCACCACGCCATCTGCTGTCCCCTGATTGTCTTGCAATTTCAAACCCAAAATATTTTTTTAAAATTTCATTATTAATTTGACCAGAGAGAAGGAAAGTCATAAGGGCAAGACTCAAACCATGATCAGCCATGGGGGAATCCAGTGCCTTAACCACTATACTACCTGCTGGCCCCAAAAATCCTTTTAAAAAGAGACAACCAACATTTTTATGACCTTTAGTCTCTGGTGAATACATGGGCCCTATAGCAAGTTTGAAAAATAACGATCTTAAATCAGAGATAAAAGCTGAAACGTTCATTTCCCGAGAAAATTCCTAACTGCCCTCACCCAAAGCCCGACACAGAGGCACATAGCTGGGCCGGAGAGGCCTGGGGCCACGTACCGCGTCAGGAGGTTGGTGATCTGCAGGGCCAGCGCGGCGCGGTAGCGGTCCTCTGCCCGCACCAGGTAGCGCACCTCGTCATGGATGCTGATGCAGAAGCGCCCATCAATGGCAAACTCCTCAAACAGCCACTTCATGGCCACAAGCATGAGGTGCAAGTAGTCCACAGCAGAGCTCTGCACCACCCAGTTCACGCGGCTGGTCATAAACTGGAGAGAAGGGGGGCCCAGATGGAGGTTCTCTGCCACACACCAGTGGGCTCAGGGGTACAGGGTGGCCTAGGTGCCCGGAGGGACTCAGGCTGGCCCTACTGCACACACTGGGGAGGCCCCATGCTCCAAGGGTACAAGATACCTCCCCCTGGACGGCCGAGGGCTCCAGGGCGCGACTGATGCGGCAGCCCAGCACTGGGGTACGTGGTGTGTCCGACATGGCGATGCTCTCCAGCTTATTGAACATTTCTGACTCTGTGCCCCCCATCCATGCTCGTTCAGCAGCTACCTCCCACTTCTTCCAGCGTGACCTGGGGGACAGGGACAGGGACAGACAGTAAACTTTGTCTTTCAGCATCTTACAGCTAAAAAAGTGTCCCAGCCCCGAGCCCTCCCTCCATCCTTCACACACACAGGGTTCTCACTTCCTTGAAGCTTCTCTCTGGATCTTGCGCAGATCCTGCAGGGAAACCCAGCCATCCTCAGTCCTGTCCACGGTCAAGTCCAACTCCCTCACCAGCCACTCGCCCTCGTCTGACAACCGGTACCTGGGGATGAAGTAGCTGCCATCACTCTTGTGGCAGTGCCTCTGCTGCCCCCTGGGCTAGGAGTGCTCGCTCACGTACCTGTCCTTTGCAGGCTTTCCTTCAGAAGAGCAAACAGGTGGCTAGGAAGAGGTGCATCCCAAACAGGAGCCCAGGCTTGTGTCCCCCAGGCCTGGGCTAACCAGAAGGGTGGCCCAATAAAAGACGGAGACTCCAACACCCAGGCTGTCACTGTTAGTGCTGCCATAATGCCTCAGACACGGGACTGCCAGGTGACCGCTCATCTTACGTTAGTTGAGGCAGCAAGAGCCCACTAGACTTGGGGATGTGCGGGTGAGAATAGGCAGCTAACAGGACACAAAAGGGGGCACTATTTGGCCTTCTTAGTTCTCACTATCCCACACTCCCTGCTTTAGAACTACAGGCACCGCCAGGCTTGTCTCCTAAAAGCTCCACAGCCACATCACACATGGGCACCTCCACATCTGGGCCCATAGTCTCACTCCTCTGTGACACCTTCATAGGGGTCATCCTCCTTCCTCATCACCGCCCTCTCCCTCTACCAGCACAGTACCCACCGTGCAAGCCTTACCCAACCACCAGCACTGTGCATCTCCTGTGGATCACATCACACTCCACTCCCCTTCCCTACATATGCACAGTCACCCCTGCACCTTTTACCACGTACTCAGCTTTCCGTCTTTCCTGAGCTGTTTGCACAAGGAGTCAGCTAATAAAACGTAGACCCTGTGTTACACCTAAGGAAACTAAAGGCCTGCTCTGCTCCTCCCTCACTGCCAGAAACATCCACGGAGCCTGCTGAGGCCCTGAGCACACGACACACAGCAGTGACAGGGGTACAATCCTGAAGTGAGGCTGGTGAACTGGAGGCCTGGGCAGGCTCCCTCCTGAGAGCCTGCAGCCCTGCATCACTGTCACGCAGCATAACCAGAGCTGTGGATGCACTACCACTTAGTGATCGTATAGCAAATGTACAGCTTTACCTCCAACAGGAAATACTTTCAGGGTGACTAAGCAAGCAAATGCCCTAACTCCAGGAACACGCCATCCTGGAGCAGCGTTAGAGATCAGGTAAGGATCAAGAAAGGAAAGATAGGTAAAGGGCACTGAAGCAGATCTGAAGTTCCAGGTATTAAAGTGGACAGGAGAGGAACCTCACCGACGGAGACCCTTGGTGACAGCATACATCTGCTGGGCCTTCTCAGCTGCCTCCTGCCGTGTGAGCCGGTGGTTGAACTGCATCAGGAGGCGCTCGGCAAAGGGCTGCCCAGCCCCATAGATGCGGCCGTAGTTGAAGACTTTGGCATGTTCACGGCTGATGCCCACGGTAGTAGCGGTCTTACTGTGCAGGTCAGTGCCCCTGGACTTCCTGCCCTGCAGAGTCATCCACCCGAAGGCTGTGCAGCCTGCAGGGCGAGGCACAAGTGAGAAAGGAGGGCAAACATCGGGACTTGCCACCTGGTTCCTGAGGGGTGGGGCAGCTCCGCCCCTGCCCCTGCCCCAGCCCCTGCTCCTGCTCACCATGCATCCCGGCAAAGTGGGCGTCCCCGAGCACAGCAGCAATCCACAGCTCCTGAGAGTCCACATCAGCACCCACAAGGACATAGCCGGGCGGTGCCTGCACCATGGCTTTCAACTCACTGCCTACTCGGTCCGGCTGCAGGGAGGAGGAGGTCAGGCCCGCCTGGATACTCAGACTTCCCTACCCTGTTCCTAGAGCCACAGTCAGCTGAGTGCACACGAGGGCCTTTTCTGAGGGGATACTTAGACCAGCAGACGGCGCTACTCCAAACCCACGGTTCCAGCAAGTGGCTTGGCAGCAACGGGACCGGTGAAGAATCCCCACACCCTGCCTGACCCTCTGCGCCCCTGGGCACCTCTAGGGCCTCATGATGGCCGTGGCTTTTAGAACAGGAGTGTCACAGCAGGTGCTCAGACACATCTGCTGAAGGAATGGCCCACATTCATGGAGCCAGATGTGTGACCCCATCTTGGGTTCCTTCTCATGCTCCCTGCTAACTCTCTCAGGCACTCTGAGACCCGTTTCTACACTGAGAGGAAGCACAGGGGCCGCAGACGCGAGACACATACGCGGGCATTGCTAGCAGTGAGCCACGTGGGCTCCACGGCCCGGCGGGTGATAGTGCCGGCAGTTACCACCTGGGGCAGGATGGCCCCGTAGCGGCCTTCCTCGTCGAAGCTGGGGTGCCTGGTGGAGAAGGGTTTTGGGGGAGAGAAAATGCGTGTTGGCAGATTGCTGTGGCCCCAAGACCTGCCCCATTCATTTCTTTTGTCCCCACACCCACAGCAGGCCATACCTGGTGACAGCACGGGGCAGAGCCGACCTGGGCAGCCACACCACCATCTGGGAGCTGTGGGGACAGGCTGGGGCTCAGCCCAACTATGGAGAGCAGAATCTACTCCATGTCCCACCATGGCCTTCACCAGTCCAGTCAGGACTGCTGTGCCACCGCCTCTGCCTCCCTCTTCCTACCAACTTGATCGAGGGTAGGTCACGGTTTCACCAAAAGCTGGGACCCTACCACCCTGCACCAACCAGGAGCGTAAGCCCTCAGGAACTGGCCAGGCCTGCAAGGCAGCTTGTGCCCCTCTTCCTGGGGCATCGGTGAGGCACCCCGCCTCCACTGCCTCTTCTCACACCCAGAGCAGGCTTGGCCAACCCATCATAGCACTCTGCTCACAAGAGGGTGCTGGTGGCACGACCACCATGGATGTGGCTCTCAGGGTGGCTCCATCTGCCCTCCTCCGACCACAGACCCACCTGCCAGTCCCCAAGAAAGCTTAGGGGCCGCCAGCCCTCCAGGGTCCTCAGCCACATCCCATAGCTCTGACAGTTACCCCAAGGGGTCCTGTTAGAGCTGGAAGGGGCCTTCAAGGTCCTACAGAGCCATCTTTTTATGTAAGCTGGGGAATAAGCAGGACAGAAAGAGCCCTGCCCAAGGTCCATGATGCCAGGAATCACAAGAGACCAGACCTCTGAACTGTAGCCAGGCTGCCCCCCTGAGGTAGGAAAAGAGGGCCAGGACTACAAAAGCCCAATCAGGGAGACGGGCCTGTCTCTGCCCTCCCGCCGTGGCCCACCTGATACGTTTATGGGCGTTCCTCCAGAAAGAAATCATTTTGTTGATTTCCAGGGCACGGGGCCCACTGGCACCTCCTGGGCCAGCTTGCAGGGTGCCATCCTCCATCTTGGGCAGAAAATCCTTGGCAAAGGGGCTGCCCACATTATAGCTGTTACCATCCTGGAGAGGGCAAGGGAAGCAGGGCTAGCGGCAGCGGCAGACCTGGGTAGGGAGCCAGCACCACCCACAACCCCAGACGGCTGGGGGCAAACCCCTAACTGCATCCCGCACGCACAGGCGGGCAGCAGGGTGCACACATGTGAGCCTGACTCCCCGAGTAACAGCCATCGGGCAGCAGAACCTATCATGTACCAGGTGTGGTGCCACACACGTGACGTGCCCTATGTCACTGAACTCTGCCACATGCCCTTTGCCACCCAATTTTCAAAAGGAAAAGAGCACAGAAGATGATATTCTCCAAAAGCACACTATTGTCACGCCTCCAGGCAGACCCTCCTGGAGTGACGGGAGCCTGCTGTGACAGGCTGCGAACAAGGATACACACCTTGTGAGGCAGCTTGAAAAACCAGCAGCCGGGGATGTCCACGTCGTTGTAAGGTCCGTTGCCATGGTGATAGGCGGGCTGGCTGGCTTTGGGGCCACCAGTGGCAGTCTGTGGGGGCCACACACCTAGATCAGGCCCTGCTCCAGCACCTGCATTCAGCGAGGGCCACAGGGCAGAGGTGGGAAAAGGGCCTGAAACTACGTGCAGGTGCAACGGGGACGATGGGCTGGCCACAAGGGCTCAGGCCTCCTCCTCGGCCTCCAACATGTGTGGGGCCACCCAGGGACAGGGCAGCATCTCTAAACCACCCCCAAGACCCAAGGGTAGGGAAAAGCCACATGGGCAAGAGGAATCCCTGCCAGCGGCACACACTCAGAGAACCCCTCAGCAGGCACCCTCACCAGAGTTGGGGGTTGGTCTGGCACTGCGGTACGCAAGGTCTCCATTGTGGCCTCAGCCTCCGCTTCTGAGCAGCCCAGTTCTTCCACCTAGATGGGCCCAGCGACCAAGGAAGTGAAAAGTAGTGGCCAGAGTGGGCCCAAGTCCACCAGCCCCTCCTTACCAGGTGCACAGACAGACCGGGACATCTGGGTGAGCCCCCAGTGCCAGCATCTGACCCTGAAGTCTACCTCTTCCCTGGGAGCAGAGACCCCACCTCCCCGGAGCCCAGGCTCAGAGCCCACCCTCACCGTCTGCCACATGGCACTGCTGTCTGTGAGCAGGAACTCCTCAGCCACACCTGCCCCCTGGGGCTCCAGCTGCTGCTTCCCCCGGTCGAGACGGTGCTTCCTATACAGGGACTCGATGGCTCTGGGCAGAGAACAGCAGGGCATCCCTAGTTACTGGATGCGGCTCTGGGCCCGCAGCCATCCTCCTTCCCGCGTTTTGATCCTCAGAGCCAGGCTTCAGGCAGAATGGGCAGTGCTTTCCTTGGTTCTCAGGGTGACACACTGACGATGAGAGCACACTGGTGGCAGGCTAGGTGGCAAGGCTTGGCCGGAGCCAACTCCAAGCTCCTGTCATCCTCAGATGCTGCTCTCCAGGAGCAGCCAGGGATGTCGGGACTGGGGCCCCGCTCCCGCCGGCTCTTCCGCCCTGAACCCTGCCACAAAGGAGCAAGGCCCCACAAGCAACTCACACTGGCCCATGGAGCCAGGACCCTTCATTCTGGGGCACTGCGAGTGCCCTGGCTTCTCCCCAACACCTCCCTATAGAGCACAGGGAGAACCATTCACAGAGCGGCTTGGGGAACAAACGAGGGAAGCACTGCAAAGGGCTCACCATGGTGCCTGGCACATAACCGGCAACCTAAACCACACCCCAAAATCAGGGGGAAAAAAGAAAGGGCCAGCCCCTGTAGGCCAGTGGTTTAGGCAGCTGGATCTCATACAGCCAACTGTGGTTCCAGTCCCAGCCTCAGCTGCTGGAAACACACACTGGACGTGCACATGCATGCCCCAAATCCCAACAGGATGATAACTGCAGAGAAGGGGCTATGGAGGGACCACACCCCACTGGGGAATGCTCTCTGGCCATTCAAAAAGAAAAAGCCCCTTGGGACCAGCAGGTAGTGTGGATTAAAGAGCTGGGCTCCCACATGGTCAACTGAGGTTTAAGTCCCTGGCCTGGCGGCTTGCTTTCTCACCTTCCCTTTCTCTGTCTCTCTTGGTGCATGTGCCCTATGGTAAATTAAAAATAAATAAAATTATATAAATGGTTCTTAAAGAAAAAAGAAAGCGAAAAAGCCTCCATCCCACCTGTCACTTCCAACAGCCCTCTCCATGGTGCTACCGGGCCTGAGGCAGGGCCTTAGTCCTACTCTGAGTACCGCAACACTCCACCAGGACTAAAACCCAGAGCAAAGGGCAGTTATGGAGCAACAAACCAGAATCCAGACTTGGACCCAAGCTCCTCCTACAGCCTCAGCTGACCCTGGTTTCTGCAACAAGGGGAAGGCGTTCCTAGACCCCAGCTCCTCTGCCCCTAAGCCTGAGCCCTACCTGTAGGGGCAGGTCACCCCAGCCGACTCTGGGGTAGTGCCTGCTGGCACTTTCACCAGGTTGTCCCGCCGCCCGGGCACCAGGTAGCCCCAGCCGTGACGCTCTGAGTAGTGCAGAGGGAAGCCATCCCAGGTGAGCGCCATGAGTTTCGGTGTGACTCGCATCTGTAGGCTCAGGAGGCTGGGGCCTGGGGTCCACGCCGGGTCGTCTAGCCGAGGACAGAGCTTCCGGTACCATCTGTGTCCCTCCAGGAAGAGAGCAGTGTCACAGTGTGGAGGGGAGAAGCAGGGGTCAGGGAGCAGGTTCTCTCCTCCATGGCAAGCCCTATCTACCCTCCAAGGCCCCGGGGCTTTCTGATGACCCCAGCCTAGTCACCATTCCCTCTTCTGGGATGCCTTAACCAGGACCCCCATAGAATCTTCTGGAACAATTCAATGAGCTCAGAAGGAAAAATGCTGGCAGCACCACTGGACTAGTCGTAAGTCAGGACCCACACGCATACCCTTCCCAGGACCGGTTCCTTCACCCACGGCTACTCTGGTTAGGAGGAAGCAGATCTGCTCTCCCCAGTAGACCTCCCAGCTGCTCAAGACACACCAGGTCCCTCTGAGCTCTGTCCTTCTCAGCCTGGGCACCAGGGCTGAGACCAGGGTGTGGCCAGTCAGGCACCCAGGGCACACGCTCTCAGGGGCGTGTGAGTGCAGCATCAACACCCTGCTGCATACTCTGGCTACTCCTTTTCTCATCTCTGCCGCTCCCCGAGTCTCAAATGAAGGGTCACCTCCTCAAGGAAGAATTCCCTGATTTCCCTAGGCAGCCAGAACTCTCAACATCACTATCTTAGCACAGACATAAGCCCCAGCTGGGCTTGGTGGTCTGCGGCCTGGCCCCTCCTAGGGAAAAGGAGCTGCTGGGAATAAGCAGCAGGGCTGCCTGTACCTGGTGCCTGGGCAGCTTGCCCAGGGCAGATGCTCCCTGCACAGACCAGCAAACCGACAGGTCAGAGCGAGGAAGTGAGCATGCACACGTGCACTGCCTCCGTGCTGGAGCCCAGACCAGGATGTGCTGAAGACGCCCAGGGCGGATGTGATATGAGTGGGGATGGGGCTCACCCAGGGTGTCCAGGGAGGTGCTGGGCCCGCTTGGGCAGGAGCTCTGTGGTCCCCTTCAGCTGCTGCAAGCAGGCACGGGCTGTGACCTCCCGCTGGAACTCCTCCTCCTCACTGGGGGGACCAGGGTCTGTGAAGGGAATGGGAGGAGAGTCAAGACCCGGAAAGGCATGCACAGAAAAGCCTGCCCTAATTTGCCCATCTCCAGAAGGCCAGGGCAGCCCCTCCCAAGGGGACCCTGGGCCCAGGACCTTCCCGGGGACACCCGCCCCACCTCCTGCCCACGCTCCCCACCTTCCTGATCCATGGGATCCCCAGGGGCACCACCCTCCTCGATGGGCAACTTGGCAGCTGCAGCTGGCTCCTTCTTCTTCACCTTTGCCTTCTTCTGCTTAAACTCCTGTAGGTCCCACTCCAGGTCCCAGAGCCAGGGGTCCTCTTTGTACCTGCAGGGCCAGTCCACCAGAGCAGGGCTACCGCCGAGCCCAAGGCCAGGCTCCCGCCCACCCGGCCTGGCCCTGCCCACCCACGGCCTAACTACCTCTCCCCCGAGAGCAGCTGGCAGGCCTCGTTGGCCAGGTCCATCAGCGACTTCTTCATTTCCCGCTGGAGCTCCTCGTAGGTGCTCTGGGCCTCTGTCAGGTAGCGTTCCCAGTTCTGGTTGACAGGCAGGTAGGAGACACCCATCTCCAGCATTCCAGCCAGAGTCACTGGGTGTGGACACCTTGGGGCAAACACCAGGGCAGTCATAAATGACCACAGGAGGTTCGATCCCTGAGCACCCGACCACCCACAGGGAACAGCTCTAACCAGAGAGACGGTGTGTAAACCCAGCCCTGCTGTGGCCTAGCCCCAGGGAAGGACTTCATCTCCGGGCCTCAGCTCCTTCATCTGCAAGATGGAAACAGCCTCTTCCCATCCTCAGCAGTGAAGAGGGCAGTCAGAACTCCAAGAGGGCGTTGCAGACCACCAAGGTGAAAATGGCTGCCCTCTGCTAAGTGCCGACCCTGTGCCAGGCACTGTACTAGTCGCCCCACACACGTCAACCTCACAACTGGGGGAGTCGAGGTTGTCTGTTTTCACAGGGGAGGACTCTGGCACTCCAGGTCAAACAAGGAAGATACCACAGTCCAGACTTGTACCAAGGGGCCAGCAGGTGGCGCAGGAGTTAAAGTGACTGGAGAGCCCACATGGCCGACTGCCCAGTTTGAGCTCCAGGTCCAGCAGCTTGAAGGACACGCTCAGCAGGTGTGTGCCCAAATCCAGAGGAGAGAATGGAGGAGGGACTGCAGCATGGCTGTCCCCAGAAGGGGTGCTTCCTTACTCTCCTCCCCTCTCTGTCTCTTAACATCTCTGGCAAATGCACACACCCTGTAGCAAAACACTTTTTGAAATTAGAGTGAATGAATGAAGGAAGGAATATATTCACACCAAATATGAGTGATGGTGACTGGCCGTGTCCTAAGACTGACTCACTGGGGCCAGCAAATGCCATAATGCTTATGTCACTGGACTCCCAAGTAGTTGACTGCAGATCAAGTCCCGGACACGGCGGCTTAAAAATCACGCCGAGCGTGTGTGCTTGCATGCCCAAGATCCCAAGAGGAGAATGGAGAAGGGATTGTGGCATGGCTATTCCTCCTGTGGGGCAATTTCTCACTTTCCGGCTCTCTGGCAAGCAGATGTACCCTTATAGCAAAAATTAAAAAAAAAAAAAAAAAAAGACTGACTCACTAACGACACAAGCAAAATGATGAACAAAGCCCCGGCTCAGGACCTGGGTGCAGAGATGTTGCCTCCAACACCAGGACCACGCACACCGAACGCAGGCACAACCCTTGGCCCTCCCCTCCATAGCCCAGGGAGACCCCACTGGACAGAGGTGGGCTCCATTTTTTCAGCTCAGAGGGCGAAGGAAAGAACCAGCACCTACTATACTGGGCCTGGGTACCAGGAGCCCACTGACCAGGGATCCCCACGAGGGCTACCCC